TATTGTGCTATGCTCCCATAGCACAACATTAAGATACAACTATCCACTATTCACTCCTTTTACTAATCTTAACCACCAAACACTAATAATGCATTTTGGTCCTTAATTTGTTGTTTACAGGTAGAAGTGTGTCTCTAATATTCGAGAAAGAGCAACTTGATCCTCAAACTTTTTCTTATAGTTGCACATCAATTCCAACCATATAAATAAATTAGCACAAATAAACACACTTATGACTTGTCACTTCAAACTCTTAAGTACTAGTCCAAGTTACGAGACAAAATCTAATTTCATAAAATTAGACGAATGAGGAACGCGTAACATACTAAAAATTTGAATAGTTTCAGACGTTGTGAGTGATTGTGCTACAGTAATAAAATATTAAAAAACAACTTACTATTTTCTCTAAATTTTTAAAGATTGAAGACCAAGTCATTATAGGACAATGTTAGAGATAAATACTGCAATTTATCTAATTTTAAGAAATTAGGAAAGAATTCTGATACCATTCGGCAGCAAATGAAATTCTTTATTCTATACAGTACCTTTACAAAGGTGGATTTCAAAAGAAGAAACAAAAAATATGATGCTAATTGCCCAAGTCGTCCAAGACATATGATCCTCTAATCTCTTTTGACGAATCGGCCTTTAACACGAGGGCGTTTTTCAGCATTAAGTTTTCTTACTTGATAACGTATTTTTTTGGTGAAGAGTCGATTCTGCCTCTTCTCCTTGTACCTCAAAACACTGGCCTCCCTTTGCCCCAATTTCATTTCCTCTTCTTTCTTCACTCCAATCCCACCACTATGGATATTTCCTGCCATTTCTGGTACTGTCCATGATCCTCCATTATATCCCCAACTGAACCCCTACATACATATATGTACGCACAAACAAACAGGTTCATTTAATTGACTAGCTGGTAAGAGGAAAACTATAAACCAAATAAAATCAATAATAGAGGAAAAGGTCAGGTTGACAGATGGCAGAGGGTCCCAATGTAAAGAAAAAAGTGCAACTTGATTATATGGAATTTAATGGTCACCCCCACCTTCTGGTGCCCTTTCATCCATCAGGGTACTTTTCCCTTGGTCAACATTTTTAACCAATAGTCAAATACTATGCTAGCTAGAGATGTACAGTCCAAAGCAAAAACATTGCATGTGCATAAAGAATTTGGAGTCATTTCCTCCTATAACTTTCTTTACAGCTTAACGCTTA